CAGTTCGAGATCCAAGTGCCCTATGACAGAGTGATCTCCTGTCTCTGGTCCCAGCTCCTGCCAACCTAGCAGTTTAAAAGCAAGAAATTGCAAGTAGATAAATAGGTACCACTACAGTGGGAAGGTAACAGCGTTCTTTGCGCCTCAGTGTCTAATCATGGCGGCCACATGACCACAGAAAAAGTATTCAGACAGTGCTGGCTCTTCGGCTTGGAAATGGAGATGAGCACCACATTCTTAGAGTCGGATTTGACTGGCTTTCGAGCAAGGGCAACCTTTACCTTTACCTATGCCTGCTACAGATCTGTCCTACTCTATCAAGTGTACTTTCTCCTTCAGGTGCTCTTGGGGGGCCTTCTTCACGGCAACACCAAATCATTCCTCATTGTTTTGAAGTAGAGCCCCTAATGTTGCCATATTTTGAAGTCAGACTTGGTGAATTGTACACATTTTCATATTTTAAAAAATAACCACAAAAGAAACTTTAAACAGAAAAAAAGTTAGTATAAATTAAGTTCATGGCAGGTGTGTTCAGTATCAGTTTGCCAAATGCCATACTTCTGTGGTTTCTTAAAGGTTCCTAGCCCTGACATCATCTGCGTGGAAAAGCTTGGGGGGGAAATCAAACTGGAGAGGGGATACGGCAAGCCACTCCCAGGTAAAAAAAGACTCCTTCCCCCACAATTCCCACTGACCCCCATTCATGTTCTATGTATGAATAACATATATTGTGATGTTTTATGTGTTTGTTTTTTACACTGCAGAAGCTGGTTTTTCCCCTGTGGTGCCTGTGTGTGTGCTGAAGGAGAGACTGCTCCAATGAAATTACACCCCATCACATGGGGGGGGGGGGTTTCCCCTGAAAATTTCTCTAAAACAGTAACAATGCTCACTTTGGTTGATGCACTCTTGGAGACAATTCCTGAGGAGAATTTCGCATCAGTCATACCAGGGCTGTAATAGCTACTCACTGGTTGTGGCTGAGAGTGCCCGGGACCGTACCCTGAACCTTAAACTGGCCCTCCTCTTCCACGTTTCCCGGCTTCCCTAAACGAATCCAAACGAACACTGAAAGGGCAGGGGAAAGGCTCCAGCCAGGTGTGTCGGGGGAACGGAGCGAAAAGCTTGATGGCGGGTTGATGGTGGGGCCGCGGCGGGCAGAAGCGAGGTGGGGCGTGGGAAAGCTGCCTAGGAGCAGCCCTGTGTCTCCACAGAGGACCGCCCGGAGATCAACGCGCGCCAACGGGTGTGATGCCAACAGGCTCCCAGCTGTGTCCTCTGGGCCCCTGAACTGGCTCTCCTGGCTGCCTCCGAGTCCCGTGCGGAGAGCTGGCGGCCCACACCAAACAGTCCCCCCCCGGGAAAGGGGCCCGCCAGGCGCGTCGCCTCCGCCTCCCTGACCGGCCGAGAGTCCCCCGCTCCTCCGCTGGCCGCTGTTCGTCTGCGTCTCGACCCGACCGAGACTCCGGCGGGGAGCGGGGCGGGCGGGCGTCGCTTGGCGGGCCAATGGGTGGCCACTCAGTCGCCGGGGTGGGGATCGAGCGCCCCCCTCCTCACACCCCCCC